GATTAATGATAGTGAACAACTTGTCGCTATCATAGTCTCGAAAGGTTACTTTCATCACATCACATGTTCATAGCAATATTTATGCGATATACACTACGTGCCAATTTGATATGCAAATGTCTGTAATTTTGAAGAACAACTTGTCGCTATCACAGTCCCAAATGAGTACTTTTATCACAACACATGTTCATAGCCATTGTTACATTATATTTCCACCAGTTTTACGCGGAGTGGTGTAAAACTCGGCGAAAAACGCGATATTCGCGCCGCTATGCAGTAGTCGTGAAATATGTTTTTCACCAGTGTTTTCCTTATCACTAGGGTGAAACTCCGTTGTATATGCGATATAGTTTCAGCCTGATTCTCATTAATCTCCGAAAATAACACATATTCGCATATCAAATTGACACGCGCTGTAAATTGAGTATTATTTCTTATCAAGTGTTGGAGGAATACATGTTTGCTCTCCTCAGCCCAGCTCGGGAGTTTACATACGAACTGGCTAATACACTCAAAAACTTCCATATCGTCACCAACGACGTAGTTGACCATGTGCATATTTCTATGTGAGTACGGAAATTTCTCCCTTAGTGAACCCACTACCCCCTCACTTGAAAATAATAGCAGCCTGGAGTTGCGTGATAGCCTTTTGCCGCAACGCCCGAACCTCGAACTGCTTTCTCGAGGTTGTTCTTATCTCGCGAAGATACGCTGCTATGTCGATCGAATTAGACCTGGTCCAATGTGAGAGGAAAATATGCACATGTTCAACTACATATGAAAATTTCGAGGAAATTTTGAGCATTTCTACCCTAATTCCTATATAAACTCCTGAGCTCAGCTGATGAAAGCGACCTAATCCAACAACCCTATAAGCAAACAATAGCTAGCTACTAGAGAGTTGGAATATATCTGTTTGATTTCCTCAGTTGAGTTTAGGTGTTTCCTCACTGAATATCCAAAGTTGAATGCGAATTCAGGTAGAAGTGTACAGAAACCAATGAGAATTCCCACAATTTCCATATTGTCACCAACACATGTAGTTGACCATATGCCCATTCCCTCGCCACTGTAGCTGTCACAGTGTTGAGATATAGTTCCGGGAATTTCCCTTACTACGTTATGAAGTTTCACACACGACACAGACTAGAGCTGTGCAAAAAAGAACAACAGCAATTCCTCAAAAATTTGATAATACAATTGAAACACGTAGTTGACTTCGTGCATATTTTCAAACACCCAATTGTCGGCGACCACTACACTATGAGTTAGCGACCATCACTGATCTCAAGGACGTTTTAACACGCGTATAAACAGTCAGCTTCATTCCACACTACATATCATTATAATACATTCCTGCCTTCCTCAAAAACTGAGTGTACCCAAGGATCGAACCCGCGCCCTTCCGCAATGGCTTCTACAGCACGAGCGCTCCCCCACTCCACCAAATCTCCCCACTATTACTTCAACGCATCATCTAAGCCCAGCAGCCACTCATCCAAAGAGCAATCCTCTTCCACCAACTCTAACACCTACCCCCACAAATTACCCCATACACCACCACTTCCAAGCAACCTCACTTGTGCGCCTAATTCCGAATTCGATTTTTCTTTATGCTCATCTACAACTCCCGTAGAATTCGCGCTCGCTGTGGCAGACTTATTCCCAGCGAGCCACTCCTGAGCCTAAAACACATACGTATTCGCATATTTTTTATAATGACAAAATTATTCTCGTCAGCGGAGTTTCACCCGTTTCACGTGAAGTGGCGTAATACTCTGTGAAAAACGCGATACTCGCGGTGATATGCAGTAGTCGTGAAATATGTTTTTCACCATATACCACTAGGGTGGTGAAACTCCAGTGATACTAGATGATAAAACTCAGCAGTTGAATGTTTGTGAACAGCAGCCTCAACAACCAGTGAGAAAACCAAACCCCACGGAGTACAATGCAACTAGGGCGCAACTCTTTGGATTCTGAAGCTACTATAAGCATATGTAGAAAAACCAATGAGAATTTCCTCAGAATTTCCATATTGGCATTATTCACGTTAGTGATGGTAGATTATACGACTACCAATGTGTTGAATTTTTGAAAATTATCAACATCAGCCTCAACGAGCAGTAGAGCAACCAAACCCCACGGAGAGTACGGGTCGATAGATGAGGGATAGTAGCGATACAACTACTATATATTACAGGCCTCGATTAACTCCTCGGGGGGTCCTACCTCCATAAGGAAAATTTTTCCGGGAAGTAATTTATTGTTGGTGAGTTCCGCGCTGATCTTGCACGAGGACTGCATTCCTTCGTGATTTTAATAGGGAAATTGTCTCCGCGAAAAATTTAAGAAATTTCATCTCTGTGAAACAATTGCGGAAATTTCCGATACCTAAATGTTTTAATCAAGTTTCACCCTAGTGATATGAAAAACACTAGCGAAAAATATATATTTCACGACTACTGCATAGCGCCGCGAATATCGCCATTCACGTAAAACGGGTGAAACTCCAATCATCAACACTACAGTACTTATCAAATTTGATATGTGTATGTTGAAAATAATAAGAATCGATTTGAAACCATCCCACTCCACTACTCCCATCAGCACTTAACACTACTTCTTTAACCGCAATAGCCGCAGTCTCCCTTGCCAAATTATACTCCCGAGTTTTCTCGATTAACTCCGTCGTGCGATCTTCCACCTACATGGAAAATCTTTCCGGAATATAATTAATCTTTTATTATTTTTTATAATTCTTCTTGCATTGTTCTCGTTCCCTTAGTTTTTTTTGTAGAAAAACTAATACCAATATGAGGAAAAATTTTACGATTTTTTCCGCAAAATTACCCCCTGAGTTAATTTCCATAGCGAGATGCCCTCAACCAACCGTAACTTCTACAACAATACCACCTCTTGTAAACGTAGTCTAACTGCATACGCAGCCTGCTGACGTCCACTCGCAGTAGTAGTAGCTGATCCCGTCGGACCGGTTACCTGAGCTCGAGAAACTCAACTACAGTGTTTGAGTAGGAATATATGTAATCGCTCTCTTTGGGAGTTTCCAAAGCTAATTATAGCAGTTCATGTAGAAGTGTACAGAAACCAATGAAAAATTTCCGAAAATTTCATCGGAATTTTTATGTGTCACCACCCATGTGCATACAGTGGGTGCCAATTTGATATGCAAATGTGGAAAAATATGTGTTATTTTCCGAGATTAATTATAGTGAACAACTTGTCGCTATCACAGTCCCAAACGGTTACTTTTATCACATCACATGTTCATAGTAATACTCACACTACTTATGCGATATATAATTTCAAATCGATTCTTATTAATTTTCAACATATACATATAAAATTGATACGTACTGTATTTTCTCACTACCTGGCAAGTCTTCCCACCCGATTGGGCGCCCACTCCACCACCAGATGTGTTAAAAGGGCTTATCTGAGATCGGAAAAAAACTCATAGGAAAACCGGAAAATTCATATTTACCGTTTGTGGTTGCGGTTGAGCTCCTGTACTGTACACTGGAGGGTCCGCGGAAAAGGTACCTCGATTTGCAAACGAATATTCACTGGAGTTTCACCCGTTTAACGTGAAGTGGTGTAATACTCC